AGAAATAGAGAAGAACTGTGGAATGTAGTCCAATCATCCTGGGCTGGAATACCTGTTCACAGGTGGCAGAAGTTGGTTGACTTCTCCCATATGCTGGAATATTATTGTTTCAGTTGAATAAATCTATTTAAATTGTTATTAAGGGAATGATTATTTTTCTCCTTCCTAAGTACAACAGAAAAGTTGTCCAAATATGAATGATTAACCTATTAAACTGGGGATAAAAAAATTAGTAAAAAATTAATATGAAAAGTTGTTATTCTAAAAATCTTCATCTACTTGCATATTAAAGTTATACCAGCAAGAATTAGTCTATGTAGAAACTATGATTTAAATCAAATCCACCCTGCAACTAAATATTAAGTGATTCAAAGGAAAGCAAAATCTTCAAACATTTTTCAGTTTATATAGTGAATGTTTGAGTTTGTAAAGAAGAATACAAGCACTGCTATTTTTTTTTGAACAGTCTAATATTCACTTTTCTTCAATTTTTTTTTAGAGGAACACCACAAATTTGATATATTTTTCTTCACGTTTTGATTTGGAATAGAATGTGTAGTGTTCCCAATGCATTTTGTGCGTATGGAAATAAAAGCTATTAGAAGGATTTTGAGCTTTATTCACTTTTGTCAACACACTGCTATTTTGAACACAACTGTACAAGGTGCCTGAAAGCACAGAGGATATTTCCAGCATTTCCTACGAAGCTTAGACACCTAAAGTTCTGCTCTGCTACCGCCATCCTTCACCATCCACAAACCCCAAAAAAAAAAAAAAAAAAAAAAAAAAAAAGTGCAAGCGACAGCCATTGTAGAGGGAGTGGTATCACTGCAGGCAGCAGGCTGTGGAATGGGCTCCACATGCCAAGAGTCAAGTGAACAGAATATGCCTCTGCTGCCAGTACTTGCAATCTTAGGGAAGGCCAACCTGCCCCCCCCCAAACTCAGCCCCCCTTCAAGTCACAGCACCTAACTTAAGGCTCAACTACCCCCCCCCCCCCCCCTCTCCCTATCCTTCCCCACATAAAGAGAAAGGAAAGAAGTACAGTGGCACAAAATGACAGGTGCAATCGAGGCTCAGAACTGCATATTTCACAAGTAAATAAAACTGTGCTATACATTATATTTTCAAACCCTCCTGTTTTCTATATACTAGGCTGTATATTACATACTCCTGACCACCGCACTCTGCCAGTTGTGCTGTAAATGAAAGTGTTACTAAACCCAGGGCCCTGCAATTCACTAGATCTAGTCTCCCCCATGAAAGTAGTAAATATAAATTGCTGAATACCTTCTCTCATCAGCAGTTTTGTGACTTCTATCAGTCAGAAGCAGAGCACATGTTAAAGCTTGTAGGAGGAGTTTTTTATTTTGCTCTAGAAGGATGCAGGGCCCCTGACCCTTTGTCTGGACAGTCTTGATTGGCCCTGTGCTGATCACATGCACTCTCCCAAAAAAAACCCCTACCTCTCTAGCAATACACACCAAACTGAGCATGTGCAGATTGACTCCACACGGAGTCAGGAGATAAGAGGAGGCCACTGGAAGATGGGGAGGATCAGGGAAGGCAGGATCAAACATCCTTTTTACACAATGCAGTGGGAATAACCCCTTAGGTTCCACAGTGTGTATAACAATCATGCTTTACTGCACATACAGACTTATTTTACTGTTGTGGGTTCAGTAACACTTTAAATATGCCTGACTGCTGAATTCTGTTCGATGAGATGTGCTTTGCATGCTCAAGACTGCTTCACCCCCCACATACAAAAGGTCAAGATTATGCAATAAATAAATATATATATCCCTGTATACATAGTGCAGTGGTCAGGAATATGCAACAGATCCCAGCATGCAAAGTGCAGTGGTAAAGAGTATGTAATGTGCAGTCCAGCATATGGAGGGCAGGGGTCAGGATTATTTAATGTAAACCTCATTGTACAGTGTGTAGTCAGGAGTAGTCAGGGGCCCTTAATATGTGACACAATTGTATTACAAAAAGAGTATGTAATGTATAGCAGTTCTAAGTAGGTAATGTACAAGGTGTATTACAAGATCCTCACTATTGCAGACAGCACGCCATACATTACATACTCGTGTCCACCCCTCACCTCTGAACCACAGCCAGCTTATCCCCATGGCTCTCATCCCGGCACAAATAACCCGTCTCAGCTCTGCACCAAACCCTCAACTGTCTTTGTACAACCCTCCCCTTCACCCCCCAGGTCTATCAGCACTCACAAATACAGAATGCAGCTGACATCATTCTATTTGGTATTCCCAGGCAGTTTTTTTTTTTTTTTTTTTTTTTTGTTTAGCACAGTGCCACTGACAGAGCTATGACTATCACAACTGCAGCACAGAGCCGAGGAGGAGTTTCCCAGCACTTCACTTGGCTCCGTGCTACAAAGTTCTGATGGGTGGGGAAAGTAGCCACCTCCAGAATCCCTAAATGAAAAACCAATGTGGAGGGTTGTGACACCAGGACCCGGGGCACCCAACAACAAATGTAGTGCATGCTCCCTGAGTGCCTGGCAATAGCTGGTGAAGGAAGCAAATGGGGAAACATCCTCTATCAGCTTCTGTGTGAAGAACAAGCAGGCAGGGCTGCTGCAGGTGGAACAGTTCTGAAACAGCAAAAAAAAAAAAAAGTCCTGGTTATAAGCATTAGCATGACAGTAGTGTGCCCATTCCCGTACTCCAGTACCAGTGGGGTGGCCCTTTGTACTTTGACCCAGGGTGGATTTGATTTAAATCACTAGTGAAAAGGCTTGATTTCAAATCATTTTTAAAGAGCAACTCTCATCTCTATCTCACAGCGGATCCTCCTCTGACCCACCTCCCCAACAGTCCCATTCACTTTAATGGGATGGCTGGTGATGCGGCAGTGACAAAAATGGCGGCAGCAGGTGAGAGGATGCCTGCTAACAGGCGCTGCCATGATGGGTCTAAAATAACAGGTGCTCTTTAAATGTAAGGAATCCGACTCATTCTTGCTGGTAGAGAGTCTTTAATATTTGCAAACCAAATGAATGTTTCCATTTTAGAATAATAAACTGCGGTTAATAAAACAGCGATACAGAACAGATTTTATGTTAATAGGTTAAATCACACATAGCTGGAGAACTACTCAAATTAATGTTTTTCTCATGGTTACCGAAAAGTTGTGTGAATGCATCAATGCAGTGCGTGTTCTCAGCTTGCATTCACTGAATGAGTTTACCAAAAACATCAAATATTGCAGAATGTACAGCCTCATGCTACATAACCAAGATCCATTTCATGCTGAACTAAATTATTAATGCATCTTAAATAGAAAAAACTCTTTAGATAGATTTTTCACTCCAAAAGCATTTTATTAAAATAAAAAAAAAAAAAACACCACAAAAACAAAAAAAAAAAAAAAAAAAAAAAAAAAAACAACTAAACATTTTTTTTTTCAAATCGATTTAGATTCACCCTACTTTGACCCCTCCAACTGTTCTGTGTTACCAGAGCTACCCTGGACTTCATTGTGAAAGACTCAGTCTACAACAATAAATCACAAGTAACCGGGTTCTGAACTATTTTACCGAAGTAGCGATTCTAACAGAAACTCTGCTATGCGATGCAACCACATTACCCTAACAGAGCCAAAAAGAATCCATGTGTGTGCGACCTTCATGGTCCATTTTGTACTATTCTGCAGGGTACAAGTTTGTACCCGTTTAGTAAACTGCAAGTTACAGTCACTCCGTCTGATCATTCCACTGATTATTCTGTTTTATTGCGTATAAAACTTGTTGACACTTTTACTACTGAAAAATCTTTTATTTGTCTTCATCCTAGTAAACATGTGACTCAGGAAATTTTTTACAATACAAAATGTCTTTCTACAATACAGCTAGAAAGTAAAAAACAGGAAGTCTTGTGAAGGGAAAAAAAAAAAAAAACACACCCACACACAAATTATGGGATGACCCTGTACTGTGGTGGGCTGTGCCAATCTTCACTTCTGCTGTTTTTACATACATCATTTAACTTTGGATCCAAGTTAGGGATACAACTGATAGGTTTCACAGCCATTCAATGGTTTTTAAGATTAAAAATAAATTAAAACCATGACGTTTCTGCTCTCTGCACATAGTGCAGGAGCCCTGGGTGGAATTCTTGACTGCCCCTCTACTAGCTTTAGGTGCTGCGCCGCCAGACGACCCCCTCCACTGCCAGACGACCCCCTCCACCGCCAGGCGACCCCCTTCCGGCGGCTGCTGCGCCGCCAGACGACCCCCCTCCACCGCCAGGCGACCCCTTCCGGCGGCTGCTGCGCCGCCAGACGACCCCCTCCAACGCCAGACGACCCCTTCCGGCGGCTGCTGCGCCGCCAGAACGACCCCCCCCTTCAAAAACGCCGGCTGCTGCGCCGCCAGACGACCCCCCCTCCAAAACCGCCGGACGCGCCGCCAGACGACCCCCCTCCAAAACCGCCGGACGCGCCGCCAGACGACCCCCCTCCAAAAAACGCCGGACGCGCCGCCAGACGACCCCCCTCCAAAAACGCCGGACGCGCCGCCAGACGACCCCCCTCCAAAAACGCCGGACGCGCCGCCAGGCGAGACGACCCCCCTCCAAAAACGCCGGCACGCGCCGCCAGACGACCCCCCTCCAAAAACGCCGGCTGCGCCGCCAGACGACCCCTCCACAAAAAACGCTGGCTGCGCCGCCAGACGACCCCCTCCAGCCAGACGACCCCCCTCCCCCAACGGCTGCTGCACCACCAGACAGCCCCCTACCCCTCGGACGACCCCCCTCCACTGCCGGCTGCTGCACCCCACCAGACAAACCCTCCAAGGCTAGCTCCTGCACCACCAGGTGAGCCCACATTTCGATATGCCCCACCATCACAGATGGGCCCTCTGTCAGATAGTTACAAGCAGCATTCTTGCATTGGAATGGCCTTCAGGGCGTTTAGCTGCAGAAGCTGCATATCCTGGAAATGGCGAGTGTCACAGATTGGATTACCTGGTTAAAGTGCACGTCTGGTTTAGGATTGGGCGCAGGAATGGCAGCGGCAGAGAACCTGCTGATCTGTGTCCCCAGAGGCACACAGGAGACCCTGGAGCAGAGGTTTCCTATGGCAGCCCGGAGCATGGTGACAACGCAGAATCCAGACCAGCCCGTCCACACAGCAACTCCAGCGACCCACCGAACTACTTCCAACACGGGGAGGAAACTTCAACAAACTGCAACTGGCTTTCTAAGGCTGGAAGCCCCGCCCTCCTGTCACTCTGCTGGGAAGTACAAAGTGCTGACCAATCAAATTGAAGACAAGCCTTCTGATTGTCCAACCAGATACAGAGGATTAGGATCCCCCTCCCTGCGTGAGCCCAGAGGGAGCGAGGAAGAGAGAGTGTGCTGATCGGCTGGCTGTCAGCCTCTGCTAACCTCTGAGCTATTAACAGGCTTGGCGGCGATCTTGTTTAAAGCTCTATTAATCAGGAGACATTAGTGTGCGAGTCCTACTGACCGAGAGGTGAGAGGCATTCCTTCATGATCGCCACAATGGCAGCACTTTGACCGCAGCCTCAGCCTGCTCCAGCTGTCATTTCTACGGCAGGATTCCAATGTCTGTATATTGAGCCAGGATTTATACCTAGACAATACACATCATTTCTGCACCCTCACTTCTGATCACATTCTATAACTGACGGCTCATTCACACCTGCAGCAACCCTTACCTCCCCTCAGTTGATGTACAGCTGAGATGCAATAATAATGTGTTAACCCTGAAAAACCCCACACACTACAGCGCCACAATGCATGCAGGGTATATGATCAGGGCTGTCTGCATGCATGGGCACTGCCCAGGGGCCCCAAGTGCATTGGGGGCCCCATGATAATTTTGCTTTACATTATACTTGCCAACTGTCCTGAATTTGGCGGGACAGTCATGCTTATAACTAAGCTGGCCGTGTCCCAGAACCTGTACTGTGCCCTCCTGATCCCAGAATTGTGCCCTCCTGTTTCCCCCATATTATGCCCTTCTGCCTCCCTCCTGTACTGTGTCCTCCTGATCCCAGTATTGTGCCCTCCTGTTTCCCCCCTGATATTATGCCCTTCTGCCCCCCGTCCCTCCTGTACTGTGTCCTCCTGATCCCAGTATTGTGCCCTCCTGTTTCCCCCGTATTGTGCCCTTCTGCCTCTCTCCTGTACTGTACCCTTTGTGTTTATTAGTCTTTGATTTATGGTACATTTTCTTACTGTTTAACCACTTTTGGGCCACCCGCCTGCAAGAAATGTAGAAATCTTACCACATAGAGATTTGAAGGAATTAATGCCTAGATGAAGGCTAGCTGAAAAGGGAACGGTATAGAAACTTTTTCTTTGACATGGCAAGAGAAGGGTTTGATCCACCATATTTGTATTGCTAAGTTCCCTTTGGGAAAGGTTTACTTCCTGACCTCATGAAAACTCCAAAAATTCATTTTGTTGCCACCACTACACTTCATGCCGCAAGACACCTACATTCCTGGCCAGTGGAGAACTGAGAACTTTTGGCCTGTGAGATATACACAACCAGCTGGCCTTTTCATGGCAGGGACAATGTCCTATGGGCTAAACAAATTGCATTATACAAAGTGTGCAACGATGCTGCAGTTATTAATGGCTATGATGATAGGTGGGAATGGACTTAGAGAACATGGTTGAATATAACACACCTTTTCAAATATAAGCTAAAAAGGGGAATGTAATGCATACAATTCAAACAATTAAGTTTTTTTATGAAAAGAACAAGATGACTGCAGCTTTGTGACAGATAAAAGCACACCTAAATAAAATACTATAGCATGATCACTAATAATTCCTATTACTCAGCTTCCATTAAAAAAGTTATCATCAAAACTATTTGAAAAGCAATTACCTGCAGTCTGTCTCCTACCTTTGCTCCATTGAGGCACTCTATCAGCATTTGACATTTTTGAGGGAGAAAGATGCAGGACTGGATTATGAGGATCGTGGTCTTGATGCTGAGGATTTTGGTGGGTACTTTTTTGGTAAGCAGTGGTGGCAGAAGAGCAGATTTAGGAGTGGCAGGAATATAACAATATGACGCAAGTAACCTCATATCCCAGCTCTCCTCTTTCTGGCCGCCCTCCTGTGTTTTCTGTGCTGGCATGCGCCCAAACTTGAAAGGGCTCAGCCGCCCAGGCAGTACACTAGGGAAGCCTGGCATTCGATTTGCCAAGCTTCCGTAAGGGCCGGGATTTGCCATGAAGTGAAAGCATACATCCCAACTTTTAAACTTGTAAATAAGGAATACTTGAGGGAGGCAGAGACCAGGGCAAAAAAGTGGGTGTGGCCAAATGGTACAGTGGGAGGGGCTTAAGGGGCATGGTTAAACAAAACTCAGGCTTCAGATATGTGCTAGAGGGGTGTCTTTTTGGGAGGGTAGAGAACTTGTGCTAGAAGTTGGGTCGAAGGGGGGTCAGATCTGTACTGCGGAGGACACTTTGGGACGGGAGAGGATATCTGCTAAAAAGATGGGGTGTGAGGGTCAGATATGTGCTGGGGAAGGGGCACTTTGGGAGGGGAGAGGACGTGCTAGATCAGCAATGGGCAAACTACGGCCCGGTGGACCTTTTAATCCGGCCCGCGGAGCTAGGCTCCCGCTAGGCTCCTCTCACAGTCCGCCCTGAAGACCGGTGTAGCATGAAAAATCTGTCTCCTATGAGGATCTGTCCCCCTCGACGTATCTGCGCATGTGCCGGAGATCGCCGATCGGCTGCTAATGCCTGAAACTGGCACATGCGCAGATACGTCGAGGGGGACAGATCCTCATAGGAGACAGATTTTCATGCTACACCGGAACGACGCGGGAACACGGCGAGAGGAACGCGCGGAGCAAAGGTAAGTGAATTGACACAGGGGGGACTTGGGGACTTAATATGGGGGATGAATTAATATGGGGAATGAATTACTATAGGGGGGATGAATTACTATATGGGGGATGAATTACTATGGGGGATGACTTACTATATGGGGGATGACTTACTATATGGGGGATGAATTACTATGGGGGATGAATTACTATATGGGGGATGAATTACTATATGGGGGATGAATTACTATATGGGGGATGAATTACTATATGGGGGATTAATTACTATGCTTACTGTGGGGGAATATTACTATACTTACTATGGATGACACATACACATCATTCATCTACTCTTGGTCCGGCCCCCGGGTCCAATATATGAACCCATTGCGGCCCTCATGTCAAAAAGTTTGCCCACCCCTGTGCTAGATGGTAGGGTGGGAGGGTCGGATATGTACCAGGGGGATGCTTTGGGAAGGGAGAAGACCTGTGTTGGGGGGTCAGATGTGTACTGAGGGGGGCACTTTATGAGTGGTGTGGACTTGCACTGGGGGAGGTCAAATACATATTGGGGGATGCCTTGGGAGGGAAGAGGACTTGTGCTAGAAGGGGGGGCATGTGGGATTTCAAGTCCAACCCATTCTGCTAGCACAGGTCCTCTCCCCTCGAAGTGCCCCCCAGCACATATCCTCTTAACAACCCCTCCCCAGATCATTTCTATGTAGCGCTACCCCCGAAGGAGCTACTTGTATGTTTTCCACGGGCTCACCTTGCAGCCAGGCACAGTGTATTTCTGCAGCCAAATACACTCACACACACTTCCACTCATTGTCTTCAATGACTAATCTAGGGGATGTTTTGTTTTGGAGTTTTATTGTAGAACTGGGGATAGGGATGGGGAATTGCAGTAGGATACACTATTCACACTGAGGACATCTAGCTGATCTCTTAGTTGAAACACTTATGAAGTCTTGGCTGACAGTAGATAGCAGACTTCTCTTGTAACATATAGCAGTAGGTAGTTTTAGGAGTGAGCAAAGCCCCTTTTTGCAGTAGTAGTAGTTACAGGCTGAGCTCCTCAGGTATAAGCCAGTTACGACAGACTGCGACAGCTCAAAGGCTGAGCAAAGTCCCTTTGTAGTAGCAACACTTGGACAAGCTCTTCAGAACACTAGCAGTGTTCCCTTTGCTTTTTAGACCCATGCTGACTATCAAGCACCAGCAGCCACATAGAGTCCCCAATACCTCTCAAAGTCTGTACTCACAAGTCCGAGGACTGAATGATTGCCTCCTTCCATTCTTCCAAGCGACTCTTTCCAGTGATACCAGACAGATCTTTGGCAAACAGCTACCCTCAGTCAGCTTTCTAAAGAACCAGGGTCACTCTCTCGAACTTCATGCCCTCATGTCGACCCACCTGAAGCTGCATGGCAGTAAGTGCCAGGCGAGGCAGCCTGTCCCCAGCCTGGGTTGGTGCAATCCACTCCCAGGAAAGACACTGAACCCATGTGCTCTCAAAATATAAATACCACTCCCAGCATTCAGTGGGGCAACCCTTCTCTGCAATTAGCCAGGGCTGTATCCATATTCATGCTGTGCATTTGCCTAGCCCCTACCCATGTTCTGGAAGGCACTCATAGTTTCCTGGAGGCTGGCAGAGCATAATGAGCAGACCTGACTAAACAATCACAGCACTCTCAAGCAGAATACCACACTGAATTTACCTGACAGCCTCTCTGGTAAGCAGAGAAACACAGCTATGCGTAACCTAACTATACACATCCAAGCACCTAACTAGGAGGGTGCTATATTTATAAGCAAGGGGTGGACTGACCATTTGAGCACTCGGGCATTGCCCGGGGGTCCGGGGTCAGTAGGGGGCCCCATGAGATGCCCCTGGTACCTTTTTATAGGCTTTTTTGGGTGTGGGGGAGGACACGGGGGCCCCATGATCCCCTATTGTCAGTCCACCACTGTCTGTAAGTGTACATCTTTGGTAACTTAACCCCCCTTGTCACTATATCCCCCTCCCCAACAAGTTTCCATCTACATTGTACTTACTACTAACCTCAGATCAGCGCGGCTCAGGCCGAGCGGTGTCCTGCCTCCTCCTCCTCTTGTGTACATGTAAGCAACAGAATCGAGGAGGAGGAGAAGGCGGCTTCAGTCTGCTCTGCTGTGAGGTAGTGCGGTAGGCGACCGGCGAGGAGGGATGCCAGCTCCCATAGAGAGATGCCATCACTGAGTGGGATCGCAGTCATTCCGTAAGAGA